AACAATGACCTTTCAGAGGTCAAATTGCTGTCAAGAATATGAATTGGCTGCTTCGCAGCAATTAACTATTACTATAACAATGTTTTTACCCTCCAAATGTTTTGTTTTCCAACACTATATAGGTAGAAGACATGTGGGTGGGGATGATAAATTAATTTTTTTTTTTTAATTGGGCGTAACAAGATTCTTTTACAATTCTATTTATTTTCATCCCATAAATTCCAATATGAACCAAAGTATTGCAATTTTATTCCTTTTAGAATCACAGTTTAAAATCCAGACTCAGGTGGTGACAGCAGACTTCAGTCAAGGGGGCGCTATTTATGCAATGATTGAAGAGAAGATTAAAGATAAAGAAATTGGTATACTAGGTGAGATCAATTTCACTGCAGCTGTTTCTTTTGACATGGCTAAAAAAAAAACAAAAGTGGTTGCAAGAGTACTTTTTGATTTTTTGAGAATTAACATGTAGTGTCTATAAGCACTAAACTGTATACAGTCAATAGCCACCATATGTGATCCTCTGTCACCACGGTTACAAAGACCAGTACCAGTACTACTGATGTTGCAACTGCAGTTGTTGCAGCTACTGCATCTGCTACTGTAAATACTGCAACTTTTGGTACCTGTGGCAGATCCAAAATAAAGGCAGCTTTATAGGGAGGAAATTTTATGGATGGAGAGTTCAGCCCCCACGTGTTTGGGGGTGAGGTACAAAATTTAGAAAACATGTCTAAAGCTCCGCAAATAAATAATTAACCAAAATAATAATAATAATAATAATAATAATAATAAAAATAATAATAATAATAAATAAGTATGCATGTGTGTTTATGTATATACAGTATATATATATATTGTGTATAGCACAATTAAATGGGTTTTTGTTCATTTTGTTTTTTCCCAGTGAACAATGTTGGTGTGATGTACTATCCTGAATGTCTCCACGAAATGAGTCTGGATCGCATATTCCAGTTGATAAATGTTAATATCACAGCTGCAACAATAGTAAGTTATTGCTGAACGCACCAAACTTTCTAGTGCATTAAAAAAAATTATAGCATGTAACTTCTTTCACAATGGACTAAATGTCAATCAAAATTAACTGACCAATTAGGACAGGAATGTGCTTGTCCCACGTTCACACTAATTGTTTTGTGGGACCATAGCAACGATAGCTAAGGGGTGAGGCTCAGCAGAAAGGCATATTAGAATACTGAGTGCTCATGTGTGATTATTATGCAAGTATGTGGGAGCACCACTTCTAAAAACAAAGCATGCACTAACAGTTCTTTGTCTGTCAGATTTACTGATGTTTGATCAGACTTTTTTTTAATAGTGTATGTTTACTTATAAGCCAGTTTGTAGTTAGAACGGCACTTGCTCACATTCAAGGTCAAATCGAGGTCAATCAATATAAACCTATGATGGGTTATGGTTATGGTTTTATATTTATATAGCGCCTTCCACGATCGAAACCATCTCAAGGCGCTTGAAAAATATATGTGAATAATGTATGGAAATAAATTTGACCGGAAATAACCTA